CTTCTTTAGATTCAAGAGGAAATATATTTGAAGTTTCCAATGTAATTGGTTTTGGAAGTATAGGAACAGGTTTCAACTGCAGTTTAGTTTTTGGATCACATTTTGATTCTATATTTTTTAAATTTTATGAAATCATTTTTTTTTTAAAAGAACATGAACGCGTTTTTTTTTTAAAATATTCAAATCATCAAATTTTTTGATCTATTGATCCGCATATGAGCTGATTTAACTCTATTCAATTTTATTACTGATGTGATTTCTGTGATATCAAGGATACATACATGACAGCCAATCAAAAAAATTGTCACGCGATTAATATTACGTGAATTTATCAATTAATTTTATCTGTTGATTTTATTACATAATTTTATTCTATTATATCTGCCTGATATGACGCTTATATGTTTTTTTTGCCAAAAGACATTTTCTTCACGAGAACAACTTTTATCTCATGAAAGAACCAAACACCGAAACAATAAAACTATACCCCACTTCTACTTACTTTCTCGGCCTTCTTTTGAACAACTTGTAACTTACCAAGATGCATTTATAATCCTTATTAAAAAGCGTCTTGGTTTTAATCGACATTCTGTGAAACCTAAATGGCTTTCGATAAATGTTTTTCCTAAAAATATCTGTCTATTTATTTCAAAGTGAATCTTCTTTTAAATATAATTCAGTACTACAAAAGTACCGTTATACATTTAAAAGTGAGGAAGGAGAAAGCAGGCTCAAACAAATTTTAAATTATAAATATTGAAATAGTCAACAAGGCCTCATAACAAAAACAACTGATTATGTGCTATTTCTAAATTATGAAAAAAGTTATGAGGTTTCTTTTAGTTGGACACAAACTGAACTAGTTGAAAACAACTGAACATTTCACTGTGATACGATTACTTACGCATTCATGACAGACTTGGGAGAATTTGTTAGTGAATAAGATTCATAATTCATTATGAGTTTTTTAACTATTGGAAATTAATTATATTAATTTTTCTTTATTAGAAATGAAGTAAAATAAGAATTCAAACAACCCAAAAAGAATAATCAAACATAATATAGATTTATTTTACCGCACCCTCCTCTTCAACAATTAATTTTAAATCAGAGATTAATTAAAAAATTGATTTTAAAATTGATTTGATGTAATACTGTAATTATTACTGTATATTGTATATTTCAATTTTTATAAATGATTTAGTTTAGCATTATTAGAATCAATATTTCTAGTATTAATTTCTTTAGGAGTTTCGTTGATTAAATAAAATAATTGCTGATTTTTAAATGACATAATATCATATACTACCGATTTTTTTTCATTCCCTCCACCTATTGTAATACCGCCAAAAAACAATCACACCTAAACTTAAGTTTATTAATAAATACCCATTTTCTAGTATTACTAAATTACCGTACCTAATTATGATTCTTTTTTTCGATGCTAGAAGTAGAAAAAAATCGTAGTGATAAATTTTTTATTTTTAATTGACGCATAAATTGATATATATGCTGTGCAAAAACGTATATATATGGGATTATATCCTGTTTACAATATAATCCAGGTATTTGTAATATTGAATTAAGATGTCCTTCAGTTGCATGATAAAAAGTACGGATCTAATTTTTGGCATTAATTTCAAATGTATCAATTTCTTGATCTGAAAGAAGTGGTTTTCATATAATTTTATAAAGCTGAAAAAACTCTCTCCATAATTTTTTAATATCTTGTCCACGAATACCAGAAATAAATTGAGAAACTGAAAAATGTTCTAATACTTTCTTCTTATCAGGACCCATCAAAGAAGTCCAGTTCCATTTTCCACCAGTAGATCTAGATTTAAAGAACTCAAAATGTACATTAATATTTTTTATTTCTTGTTCAATCTCCAATTTAATTTTTTTTTCAAATTCTTTTTTTTTAATTAAATCATTAAAAAAACATTCTATCAAGACATCAACAATACGTAAAAATAGATGCAATTCATCAGGAATATAATTTTCCTGATTAATTGCAGGAAATAATGCTAGTTTTCTATTTTCGCCTAATTAAAGTTTAAGAATTAAAATATAATTACCAATAAATAAAAAACATATTTTAAAATCAACTCACAAGCATTATTTCTTAAATTTTCATGACTTTGATCCATATCCCATCGCATTTCAGATTGGCAGTCACAGTATAGACAAAAATACTTAGAATTAGGAGCGTTTAACACCATAATTATATACATAAATTTTCAGTCACCTGAAAAAAACAATTCTACTGGCCAATGAATTCCATATTTATCATAAATTCCGTTATTTTGGAGATCAAGTTGATGTTGAAATAATTGTCCTATTTTAGCAAGATCTTCATATTTTTCTCGTCTAATATAAAGACAAATACTAGCAAATTATTTTTATTAATTGTTTATTTAGTTAATTTAATAAATTATAAATTATTATTTACCAGTATTGATGTTCGGGTTTTAAGACTTCTTCACCTTTGTTTAAAAGACAAAATGTTATCATTACATGGCTTTGTTTTCTGCCAACATTGTAACCATCACCACCAAGTTTAAGCTTAAGTGTATCACCAGGATTAATAATTGCAGGAGAAGCCTATTTCCAAATTGGAATTAAAGTTTGTAACATTGTATAAATTGATCTATATGCACCATTTCTGATCTCTACTTCATCAACAATTACACCATCATCAGATTCTTCAAAATTATTAGATAAATCATCATCTTTATCAATATCAAATGTTCCAATTCTAATTTCTTTATTGATAAAATTAGTAATTTCAACTCTACGATTAGCTATCAAATATTCACGTATAAGAGATGTTTCAACTGCAACAAGTCTTCGATATTCATCATGTACTAATAATGACTCATCACAAGCTCTAACAATAGCATCTATTTTTGTAAGTTCACTCTCTTTATCAGATGACTTATAAGTTAAAATAATGGTTTCACCATTAAAGTTTAATTCAATCTTACGAATATGAACTATTGGTTGACCTAATTTAGTAGTCATCTGATGTTTTTTAATTAAAGATTTAATTGCATTTCCAGATTCTTTACCTAGAGATGCAAATATTTTATTTTGTCCTGATACAAATTGAATTGTTGCTAAAGGTTGTTTTCTTTTATTAATTAATGTTATAGGAGCACCTATTATTTCCATCTGATATTCATGCAATCGTTTAATATCAAAACTAAAAATATATATACCAGATAAACTGGAATTTGGACGGTTAAATTTCTATAAAAATTAAAATTAAAATCAGTAAAAAAAAATTCCAAATATTCCTTAATTACTGTACTAGAAAATATAAATACCTTTAAAAATGCATTAGTAACACTAGTTGCAGAACGTTCACTATATATACTATATTCTACTCTATTTTCTTTCCACACTATTGTAAATCTTACTTTTCCACTTAGCTGATATTTTGTTTTACAGCGAATTTTTATTTTAGAAACTTCAGTTTCAATACTATAATTATCAGGTATTTGGTATTGAATACAGTCTTTAGAATTTTTTTGTGTTATTTTAACCGGAGTTGGATAATATCCTAAAGATACTACTTTGTACCAAAAATAAAAAATTCTGTTTTCTGTTAGATATTGTGTATTTATAAAAGAACTTGCAGGATATTGTTGTCGGAAATTTCTTGTAGAATAGCCATCTAAATGCACTTATCAGTTAGAAAATAATTTTTGACAATATATAGTATATGTTTGTAATTTATAACTGGAGGAAAAAGTACCATTTATAAATTCAAAGTGTTCGTTTTGGTTATTTTCTTGATTTAATACCTGCATGTATGCTTTTAGCTCAAATCAAATGTATTTTAATATTATAAAATAAGTTAACCTAAATGATTCTTCTCAATGACTATTAAAAACCAATCTGTAACCGATCTGTAACTCGCGATTACTCTTGTTTTTAATGAACGAAGATTGGATAAAATCACAAATTTTGTTATGACCTGCACTGTGATATCACGTTACACCTGATTTTATCACTCAAATTTACTATGTGATCGGATTCAAATCGGCCCATATGGTTTATTTGATCTGATCTTCAAATGATTTTTATTGGCTATTAGATTTTTTGACAATCTAAACTCGAAAACAAAAATAAAATAATGCGAGACGACGATGCAGCCCGTGTAACAGCGTGGCGCCTCAACGCCACCCTAGTTCTAATTATAAAAAAATTTAGAAAATTCTATTGATATGTTAAATACACATTTTTTATTTTTGCACTGCACGAAACCATGGGCTCTACTGTATATGTGACTTAGAATACACTTATTTGTCAAAAACTATTTGATCAAAACATTTTGGGTAAGATTTATATTTATGATCGTCATACCTGTTTAATAATGATTTAATGATGGTATGATCAAACCCTAAAAAGTTTTGACATCATGCCCGTCTCTTGTGTGGCGGAAAGTATTTTTGGTTGCGTATATCGTGTAACGGAAAGTTTAATAACTTTTTAAAGCTAGCACTGCGTAATGTTTCTCTTTGCTCTTTCCAAATACTGTATTACCAAAACGTACACAAAACGTAAAATATGGCAACTATCTACGGAGACGACACAGATTCTTTTATTTCATGGAAATGTATAATTAGTACGACAGACTTTCAAAATTCTGCCGCCACCTCTCAAAATATTGCCGCCACTTCTCAAGATACCCTGGAGACTGATACTGAAAAAACAGGTATTAATAAGGAAATTGAAAAATTGAAAATATATCGCAATTACTGGTGGAAAACCGGTAACTTCCACCCAAAGGCCAAATGGGAAGAAGTAAGGTAGATATCTTTCCTATATGTTCGACAATTTACTATTTTATGAGCTAATTTCTGTTATTTGTTATAAAGTTTACCCTATGAGCTTGTTACCGACGTTTCCTGGGAAGAGTATGTTGAAAAAACGGATAAGTACAATATCCATGGCTTGTGGGATTGGGAAAACGGGGCAGTTAACGTAATTGAAATTCCTTCGAGTTTCCACGATATCTGCGTTGGTGCTATTGTCCAGCAAATTAGTGGAGCAACTATAAGTGTAATGAGCACTAATCAAAGCATTCTTAATTTTGGATCAACAAGTGAGTATTTGGCTTTTTTTTTTATTTGAATACTTTTCCATTACTAACAATCTTTGACTAAAAGCAACAAGATCACGAGGATCAGGTAAAGAAGCGGATGCCTCGTATCGACCATTAGCGAAACCTCGAGTCAATAATGGAGGATCTGACGGAAGAGTAAGAATTAGTTAACTCGTTTATTATTTCCATTTCAAATTTCTGATGTTGACATATTTTTAGAATCAGCCCTGGCCAAATTTAGTAGTGAAGGTTGCGTATGCAGAAACTGAAGCAGCTGTCAAAAGTAAAGTAGAAAATTACTGGCTAGCAGCTGGTCGAGCCCATGATGCTATTGTGGTCAAATTAGATTATACTGCAGGCGTAAAACCGTCATGCATGACTGTAAGTAATGACATGTTTCAATTCCCACTCAACTTTGGTACTGAATAGTTTTATTCTTAATAGGCCTGGCATTATTGCATAAATGTTCGAACAGCGGCTGGTGCGTTAAACCCCACAATGGTATGTTTTATTGTTATGTACTTTTAGCATCGAATTGAAAACAAATTTAAGGTATTCTTTTTTTTAGTACGAATTCGGATCAGTTGACCTCCAGGGAAATCCAATCAACCCACAACGTGGGCAAAATGTTATTAATATTCAATTGAATTGTCTTTATCATGGGGTACCGGTTAATTTTTTGATTCCATCGCCACCTCTACCTAACCCTATTACGATTGATTTATTTCATGTTAGGTTCGCTATTGAAAATTGTATTGTTTAAATATTCACCTTTACAGCAGTAAAATTATGTAGAGCATTTACAATACTGCATCACAATTTATATGATTTATCTTAGCTGAAGTTAATATGTAATCATACGTTGAAAAAATAAAAATATATATGCATAATGTTATAGCTGCTATCAATCGTCATAAATATATATTATATGATATAAATTATGTCTATTTTCAATTGTTACCAGTGCATGACATGTGATGCTATACAAGTATTTTATAAACAGTTCAAATAGACACTATTAATTCTTTAAATCCTTTAAAGAATATAAATTCTTTTATACTTCTTTCAAAAAAAAATTATATTAATCTTAACTTTTCTTATTCTTAAAAGACTCTTTTCTTTTTGAATTTAACAAATATTTTAATTCATTTAATTAATTTTTTTATCTCTTTTTTTTATGATAAGATCTGAGTTTTCTAAGTATGTTAAAATGATTAAAAAGAAAAATTAAAAGGTATTTTAACAAAAATAAAGAAAAAATATAATAAATTAAAAGTTCATCTAATTTAAGAATTATTTCTAGAATTTCTAATACTTAGAAGAAATAAATTATTTTAACATTAAAATTTAATTTAACATGGTTTAATTTTTAACAGATATAGATAATATTATTTGATTTTTATTAAAAACTTAATTATTAGATATTGATTTTTTTGATTAATTAGAAGGAATTTCATGTAATTGGTTAATTTAAATAGTATTCTGTACAGATTCAGATTGATCTGAATTCAATCTGAATCTGACAGATCGAATTCAGATCAGATTTATCAGATTCAGATTTAATTCAGATTCAAATTCAGATCAAATCAGATCCGTTAGATTCAAATTCAGATTCAAATCTGATCTGTCAAATTCAGATTAGATTTAGATCTAATCTGTCAGATCTGAATTCAATTTTTTTAAAGCTAAAAAGTTCCTTTTCAATGAAAAAAAATGAATTTTTAGACTTTTTTAAATCTAAAATTTGTTTCTTTCATTGAAAAAAAATGAATTTTCAGATCTCTTTTAGAGTTAAAAAGTTCTTTTTATTGAAAAGGAACAAATTTTCAGACTCTTTTAAAATTGAAAAGTTCTTTCATTAAAAAGAAACAAATTTTCAGATTCTTTTAGAGCTGAAAAGTTCCTTTCATTGAAAAGAAACAAATTTTCAGATTTTTTTAAAACAGAAAAGTCTCTTTTATTGAAAAGGAACAAATTTTCAGATCTCTTTTAGAGCAAAAAAATTTCTTTAATGAAAAAGAATGACTTTTTAAAATTTTTTAGAGCTAAAAAGGTTCTTTTCAATAAAAAAGAATGACTTTTCAAAATACTTTTAAAGTTGAAAAGGTTTCTTTCATTGAAATGAAATATTTTAAGATCTCTTTTAGAACTAAAAATTCATTTTTTCAATAAAACTTTCAAATTCAGATCAGATTCAGATCCTGAAAATAAAAATTAGATCAGATTAAATTTAGATAAAATCCAATCTAATCTGATTTTGTAAAACACTAATCCAAATAGATTTGAAATAGAGTCATAGGAAATAGTTATAATTTTTATTTTTGTCTTATTCTTATTTTATTTTATTTTATTTAATATTTATATAATTTTAACTTAAAATTTAATAAAATTACAATAATACTATATTAATAAAAAAAATAAAATTTTACATTTCAAAAAAAATCTGTTTATAGAATACTTATAAAAATAAAAAGTTTAGAAGATATGATACAGTGTACAGTTAACTCTTGATATAATGAACTCTTGATATAACAAATTTTTTGAACAAATTTAATAAAAATACTCTTATTATAGCGAATTAGCTGATCAAATCTCTTAAAAGCTTTACTATAGCTTTATAGTAAAGTTGAGGCCTAGAACATAGAATTTGTTATAATAAGAATTGACTGTAATAAATATTTTTATATGTAATATACTAATAATTTTTTGTTAATACAATAGGAAAAGATAGTATTGATATAGAAATTATGTGATATCTAAATTCTTAGATTAAAATATAGTATTATATTCTTAAAGTTTAACACTTTTTTTATATATAATATTATAAAATATAATATAGGTCTTTAAAGGATTTATTTATTGATTAATAAAATTTATCTATATAATCAACTCTTATTATAATGAACTCTATGTTCTAGATCTCAATTTTGCTATAAGGTTATAGATTTTAAGAGATTTGATTGGCCAATTCAATATAATAAGAGTATTTTTATTATATTTATTTAAAAAATTTGTTATATCAAGAGTTTGCTATATTAAGAGTTAAATTAATTTTTATATTATTATATTATTATATATAGTATAGTTAAGTATAGAAAATTTTTTAATATATAAAGATATAATTAATTTTTAAAACATATATATAATATTATAAAGAATAATATAATTTGCTTTATATTTTATTGTTATAGTTTCTTCAGAAAATATATTTTAACACATATACAAATATAAAAAAAATAATAATTAAGTTTATATTAGCAACAGTACTTTTATATTACATTAATAAAAAAATATCCTATTCTTCTTACTTATCTAAAGTACTATCTTAATTATTATTAATAATAATATTAATAATATTCACATATTGTAAAAAAGAGAAAAAATGAGTTAAAGGTTTAAAAATAATAAATGTTTTAACAAATGATGTTATAGATGATTTTTTAAGTAATACTCAGATTTTTCTAAAAAAAATTTGATTTTTTTATCTGTTAAAGTCTTAAATCTAAAGAACTATAGATGCTATTATAATATTTTTGTAATTTTAATTAAAATCTCAAAAGAGTAAATAAAACTAAAACTATTACTAGAAAAATCATGAGTGAGGATTTATAATAATATTAAAGATTATTCTTAAAATAAAAATATATAAGATAAATACAAAATAAATACAAAAATAATACAAATATATTTCAAAGATTACATTTTAGTGATCCTAAGTTATTATAGTAAATTAATATAATATCAATAAGTTTATTAACAATAATTAAAAGAATTATAATGAATGCAAAAGGGTTACAAATAAATTATAATAGTTTTAAAGGATTGTGAAAGATATATTTTATATTTGGTTAATTATAAAAGAAGCAACACTACCATTATCATTACCATTATTATTAGTAATAAAGAAGAGTACTACTACTACTAATAATAACATTATCATTATTAGTAACAAAGTAAAAAAAAAACATTATTATCACCATTATCATTATCATCATAAGTAGCAAAGTAAAAAGAAGTACTTTTATTAATATAATATATAAGTTCAGTACTTAAAAGATTATTATCTTATCAGTGCTGAAACTCAAAGAAAATATAGAGATATTTATATATGTTGAATAACTAAACTAAATATATTAAAGAAAATAAAATTGCTATTTCACTAAGCAATAAAATTGATATATCAATAAAATTGTCAAATTTATAAATAACTAAATAGATATCTATAATTTATTTAATTATCAAGAGTAATAAAATTAATATCTAGAGATTTGCATAATCAATAAAATGGACAAAACAATCTTTCTAATGATTTACATAACAATAAAATTAACTTTTTAATCTACTAATTAAATCTATCTAAAATTTTACCTATAATAATGCTTCTACATATGATAATAATAATAATAATAGTAAATCTATCTTATTTAACTTCTTAATACTTTTATCATATTCTTATTCAAATGATAATTTAATAAATAAAAGATATATTATTAATACTCACCTAATAATTCTTTATATTTATAAGCAAATAAATATTTAAAAAAGAAAGTTAAATAACTGTGATTTTATTTTTTTTTTAAACAAAAAAAGAAAGAAGGTTTTTTTTAAAAATATATCTAAATTAATTAAAGATAGTAAAAAATACTTAAAAATCTCTTTACTAACTAAACTCTTTTTTTCACTATCTTTATACTTTTGCACTATTTAATAAAAAATAACAAACATATGATCAGCTAGATCCTTCATAAAGCTAAATAAATACTACTTATTTTAAATACTTTTATAAGATTTATAAATTTATGATAATTCTTACTAGTGAAATAATTTACATTTTCTTATTTATTTATCTTTAGAGCAATGATATCTATTATATAATATCAATTTAGTATAAATGTTAATTCTCAAGTAAGATATATATAATAGGTCACATGTCTTATATTATAAAATACAAAAACAAAAAGAAATTTTATTATATTTTCTTAAAGTTTGAAAAAAGTGGCTTATTATTATATGCCTATATTATATGTTCTTTTTATGCATTCCTTTTTTAGTATATATTAACTACAAAAGTTATGGATGTTGTTTTTCTTTTATAATATAAATTAGCTATAAGGGTTGCAAGTATGCTTGTTCTTTTAATATATATTAACTGTGGTATTATAATTATACCTTTAATATATTTATTTTAATATATTTAACTCAAGACCTTTAAATATATGAATTTTTAATAAAATGAAAATTAAAAAATTTTAAAACACATTCATTTTTTTCAAATATTAAATAATGAGTTGTCAAATTTACTTTTTTGACCCAAAATTTAATAAAAAATTGATTTATAAATCTCCAATTAATAAATATCAGGAATTTACTAATGTGTATATATATAGTATTATAGTTAAAATGGGAAATAGTATTTCAAATTGCATTATTATTTATTAAGATATAGCAAAAGAATAGAAGAACATTAAAAACAAAAATATTTCAGAAATTAACAATATAATTAAAAACTACATGACTACTCTAATTAGCATATATAATATATCTATAGTAAAGACAACTTGTCCTATACTTCCTATACCTACAATAGAACTATCATCAATCTAGTTGAACCTATATCAGAAATTCCTATTAATGCATTAGCTTAAAGAAGAGTAGCAGACAAAATTAAGTTAGTTGAAAAAAGCTTACTGAATTAAAACAATTGTATAATATCACAACTAACAATCAAATTTGAAATGATTTATATATGAAAATAGAAGAAAT